ATTGTACGACAGGTAAGCACCATATCTTTTCACAGTGCTGCGGCCTTGCTTCAAATCAGCAATCCAAAGCGATCCCACATTAGTAACGGGGAGTTCATCGGGTGGAAGTCTGTCTTCTTGGCCGGTTTGTTCCAATGGTTTGCCTTTAGCGTTCCAGCAGATTATGCATCCTGACAGAAAGTTCCTCAGCGCCGAGTTAGCAGAAGGAATCCAATATTTCTGTTGCAGCTCTGAGAGCATATACAGTCTTCCACAGTGTCCAATCTTCTCGTGTGTCCTGCAGTGTGGTCATATGCACGTCCTTTGGGATAATGATTGGATGCTTCATATGTTCTGGCATCGCAGCAGCGAGGCCACCTCCAACTCTCAATACTCCATCCAGAACCAAGCTGGAATTATAACAACTTTAATTTGTATAGTTTCAAATATTAATGTTGAATTTGCCGAATTTGACAAGAAGACGTCAAATTCACAAAAATGGGAAAAAAGCTGAAAACACAAAAAACAGCATAAAAGTGTTGCTCATCTAGAGCCGCCTTCAGCTTGTTATCATAATCCTGGGTTTGCCCATGGATCTCCTCTCAGTGTAACTCACCAAGAGATGTCCAGGAGGCATCTCAGTCAGACAGCTGAAGCATGTCAGCTGACCCTGTTCTATAAAAATGTTCAACAGTCTTATGGCGGTTTGCAAGAAGCTTCCACAGCCCCGCACAGCGTTGCACCTCAGGCCACGATCTGCGGAGGGCAGGAGTCTGAACAGGCTGTGGTTGGGGTGTGAGGTGTCCCCAAGTGGAAGCCCATCACTTGACTACACCGAGAAATTCTGTCCATTAAAATAATAAAGAGAATGTGGGCCAAAGGGCAGTCCTGACGGAGTCCAACGCAGTGGGAACCAGTCCGACTTGTTCCTGGTAATGTGAACCAAGTTCTTGAAACAGCTGTACAAGAACCAACAACAAGGGTCCAGACACGCCGTGCTCCCGCAGCACTTTCCATAGAACATGACAAACGTCACAAAATTTTGCCAAGATCAGAGTTTATGTGGAAAAATGAATAAAATCTTATTCAGGACAGGATTGATGATTTGTTTCTGTAAACAACTTTGACACCAGTGTCTGGGGATATAACCAAAATAACAGTTGTCTCAAGATGTTTATTTTGCAAGGCGAATAAAAAAAACCCAACAATCATATGACCCCGCATGAACAAGCACTTTGGCGATAGTGGGAAGGAAAAACTCCCTTTTAACAGGAAGAAACCTCCAGCAGAACCAGGCTCAGGGACAGAGGGGCAGCCATCTACCACGTGTAGTTGGGGTGGGGAGACTAATAACCAATGATTAAACGCAGAGTGGCGTATAAACACACAGTGAGTGAAGAAGAAACACTTTGTGCATCATGTGACGACCCCAGCAGCTTAGATTTACTGCACTGTTCCAGACATAACTTAATGCTTGGTCCAAAAAGGAACGTTTTAAGCCCTTAAAGTAGAGTGTGTATCGGTCACCCTGAATTCAAACTGGGAGCTGGTTCCACAGAAGAGAGGCCCTGAAGCTGAAGGCTGCCTCCCGTCTGTTAACATAAAAGCCCTAGGAACCAGTAAGCCCATAGTCTGAGAGCAAAGTGCTCCAATGGAGTGAAACAGTACTACGAGGTTTTTCAGATCATTCAAGA